TGGTGGCTTTCGCCTCCGGAGTGCTCGTCGGCTGGCAGGCGAACCGGCTAAGGAGGCGCTACCTGGACTGGAGGAAGCGGAGGCTGCAGGACAAGCTGGCGACGACGCAGAAGAAGCTGGACCTGGCCTGAGTGGCCGCCTCGCGATGCGCGCGGCTCCCTCGCCCTCCCGCCCGCGGTGCCGGCCCTTCCCCAGCGTCGGTGAGCTGTTGGAACCGGGAGCTTGGGTCCGCGGTAGGCTGGGGCCGCCGGGMGGGACTGGCTCCCCTCCCCGGAGACCAGGAGGAGGAACTTTGCTGAGTACTAGCGCTTGGGTGTAATAGTTGAGCTCCCTTCGGGGGTTTGGTGGCACTGACTTGCCATGTGCAATGTCATCGCACCCTGACATCGTTAAAAGTGAAAAATCCCTGAAAGAAGGACAAGGCAAAAAGGAAAGGCCATGGGAACCACGGAGATGCCTCTTGCACCTGCTCCCCCTCCGTCCATCCCCGTGGCGCCCGGGGACCTCTTTGCATTAAAGTTTTGTAAACTCCAGTCAGAAAACTTAGGTTGTGGGAAGTTGGTGAAGAGGAAAGAGCAGTGGTCAGGAAGTCAGAATCCTTGCATTTAGTCCAGACTTTCTCATCAGAGCTATTTGTCATAGATTTTCAGGACCTCCGTTTCCTTGTAACAGCAGATCTTAATAATTCAAGTTACCAGAGGATGTTAAGTTACATACGCGTGGTTCAAATTCTATTGCTGAGCAAAAATAAAGAGGTGCTGAGCTTACCCTTGGCAAGACACCAATGTCAGCCAATAGTGGAAGGAACTATTCCTTTAGGTTCCTGGTGGACCTAAAGCTACAGCATAATTATTTGAAGTTAAAGAGTGTGTTACTAACCTTTTCTTTTTTTCTGTTTCCAACAGCTTGCTGAAGAGGGATGTAGAATACCGGAAAGAAATAAGTTCTTGCACTTTATGAATCTATTTTTAAAATAAARAAAATTTAAACATCTTTGAACCTTTTTTTTCCTTTAAGGGAAAGGGATCTTTTGCCTGCTTTAAGTTTGCTGTATCAAGAGATTCTAGATTCTTAAGCTTATGCATTAGCAGTTTTCAACAAGTAACTTCTTTCCTATGGAATCTATGCGGGGTCGTTGGTTGGTACAGCCACAAGGCAGAGTTCACCAGGGAACCATTATGGGTCCTTTTGTTGGACCAGGAAAGCAAGGATCTGTGTACACATAACTGAGGTAAGGATGATGTATGTAAGACCTTTGCACTTCAAAGAGCGACAGTGTACCAAGTACAGAGTAGACATTTCTATTGGCAGAAGTCTCCTGTATGTCTCATTATGGAATATACATGTGAACAAGAAATGTTATCAAAAAGAGCTTGGTGATAAATTCTGTAAATCAAGCGTGAGTGACTAGGTCCACGGTTACTTTTTATTTGCAGGTGATGCTCTCTAGCACACCACCCTTGCTCATTCTTATAAAGATGACTTTTGTGTCTCAGCTCCATAGCAACATAAGGAAATTTAGAAAAGGTGTTCCTACAGAAAATCTATTAAAGTCACACTACTTCCAACTTTGTTCTTTTTCATTCTGTGAATGCAGTACATAAGGACCCAAAGGATGGTTCTTAGAGCTTCATCCTGTCGGCTCTAGTTAGCTGAAGCATTCTAGTTACCATCTTTCATTGAGGCTCAGAGTTAAAGCTCTTCGAGACACAGTAGGTTTCTTGAGGTCCATGTTGCCCTCCAACTATTGGAATGTTCCTGGTTAAGTATCTGGGTTCTGGCAAGTTCTGCCTCTGGACCTGTTCCTGGTGGACCTGGTCTTTCCGGCTTCTTTCCTCATTGCTTGCATGCAGCGCCCTGGTGTACTCAGCCCCCTCTCCTGTCCCATATCTGGGCATCCCTGCCTATGGGCTTGTGCTGCTCATTCCCAAGTCCTTTTGTTTCCCATGGATCTTCACCCATTCTGTGCCACTCCTAATCTCATTTTCTGTGCCTATTATCTCTTTATGCTCTATGCACATGTGTCCCCATCTCTATAGTGGGGAATCCCCCTTGATATTCTGTCACCTTTTTCTTACCTTTACTCAAATTAGTTTTTCTCCCCTGAAATGTTTTCTCACATAGAGGAAGTACCCTTTGCTATGTTAACCAAAACTGGAAACAGGAGGTTGGGAGCCAGGAGTCACAACAGTAGATATCCTGGATATGACATACTGCTGACTTGAAATAAATACCCCACCCCCACTTGCCATGCCATTTAATCACAACATCTAATCTACTTGTCTTGGTTGACTCACTCTTCTATCTTGTCTTCCTTTCTGCACCATATGGGCTTCTCAGACCACCTACTACATTCCACATTGCTTTAGCTAAACCCTGGATCTTCTCTTCAACAGACTTGGACCTCATTTCATACTTGGCTTTGATCTCAGCAGGTGAACCCTCCATGTTTAGGGCAGCTGACATCAGTAAAAGTGCCAACTTAAGACCACTGGTTATCCTATCCTCCAGTTCACCTTGTCAGTCATCCTGGGCTTCCCGATCACATTAGACTCCATCCCCACTTACACATTTACCCCTCAACACTGTTGTTGCCACCAAACTTACCAGAGGAAGACACTTCACCTTTCTTATGTGGCCTACCTTAAGTGGGTTCTGTTGTATATCCTTCTGGTGTCCCAGTAATGTTTCTTCCCAGTGTATATCTCATTCCTAGGAGATTGCTCTCCATCATATGAGAAGATAAAGGCCATGAGGTGGGAATTCCCTTAGCTCTCAATGATCTGACTAGAGCAGTGGTTTTCAACAGGGCCGTCCATTACGATCATCTCAAGAACCTTCCCAGTACGAATCCCTGAAATTTTGCTGCATGTAGTTGGTCTGGGCGTTAGGATTTTAAAGCTCCCCAGGTAACTCTAATGCTCAACAGAGGCTGAGACCCGGTGGTTCAGGCTCTGTTGCATGACCTTTCCTTTACTGTTGGGGACTGCAAATCAAGTCAAGATGGCGCCTGGCAGTTTGCCAGGAGGAGTGATTTGTGAGGCAATGCCACCGAGCCATTAAGATGATGGGAATTCCTTATTGGCTGATTGCTGTATCTGGATGATGCTAACTGAGTCAAGCTGTGTGTAATCAGGTATATATACCGATGTTGTCCCGCAATAAAGCAGTTCCCGCTTCAACCTTCAAGTTGCTTGTCACCTCCCGGTTATTTTGCCCAGCCAGACTGCAGCACTTTACTTGGAAAGCAGATCTAGGGGCCCCTTCATAGGCTATCTCCTCTCTGGTCTCAGTTGTATCTACCCTGGCCTTCAATCTTTCCCAGCTTTCCCTTAGTCACAAGAACAGATCTTGACTTAAAATTCCTTTTAGTTGACCCACTTGAGAATGAACATACTACAACTAAGTACAGCATCTTACAAACACAAGGTTGACACAAGAATTCTATACACAGCATAATTCCATTATTTGTCCAAAAGGAAGCAAAACAAGTTTGTAGTGTTTACTTTTGGTGGTGGTGGGGGATAAGGGTGGGTAAGAACTAGGAGAGGAAGAACTGTTAGGGTGCATGCAATGTTTCTTAATCTGGGTGCCATTACATGGAGCATACAGTGAAGATTCAGGAAGCTGCATGCTTTCATTTTGCACTTTTTTTTTTTTTCTGGGTACTGGGGATTGAGCTTGGGTGCTTTACCACCAAGTATGTCTCCAGTTCTTTTTAATTTTTTATTTGAGATAGGGTCTTGCTAAGTTGCTGAAGCTGGCATCCAACTTGTGATCCTCCCAGTTCTGCCTCCCAAGTTGCAAGCAATACAGGCAGTACTTGGCTTTATGGCCTTTTCTATCATTTTTGAAGAAAGAAGTATATAATAAAAATGTGACAGTTTGGCCTGACCTGTGGAATCAACTTATGTACATTTCTGCAGAACACACACTTATATTAATGTGGTCCATCATTTGGGAGGTTAGCTGGGTCTGTCATTCTTGCTCAAGTACAATGTTGCCATAGTGGAGTTTGGGGATTGGATTTACAGGATTCAGCCCAGCTTGGGGAATTATTATTACCAGCTTTCTAAGAGTGCCTGCAAACTGGGGATCAAGGTGAGGATGCATTATTTGCTCACAGACTTGCTTGGAACAGAATCACCATCCTCCCAGAATTCAGATGGACGACGTGCAAAATCAGAATGGAGAGAAACTACAGCCATATCCCAGAAGACAAATAACTAAAAAGTGACTTTGAAAGCAACAGTATGCGCCAAAATCATGCACCCGGTGAAGGCTACACTGGACAGTTCTTGTAGTTATCAAAGTGTTAAAACGCTCAAATCGCATCTTAAGATTTGCTCAGTGAGACTGGCATGAGTCAACAGCATAAAACAGCACCCCAACCCTAGGTAATAACAATTCGCGGTGGCACTTGTAGTTTCGCACACCCGGGGCTTCCACAGCGGGCGTGCTACCGCTCTTGCCTTCTTCCCGCTAGCAGTCGGCAGGTGGGCGGGGCTGCAGGGCGGGCGCAGCGTGGCGTCATCTTCCGGCGCCGCCTTAGTCTCCCTGGCAACCGGCGCGCGCCTGGCGCCGAGGCCGAGGAGATGCTGCCACGCCGGCCTCGGGATCCACTGCAGGCGGTGCGGCGCCGCAGTCAGGAGCTGAAGCAGCAGGTACGACGGGGCGGGGCGCCGCGGCGCTTTCCTCCCAGCGACCCCAGTCCCTGGGAGCCGGCGTCCGACCCAAACGCTCCGCACCCGCCACCTCCCCGCGCTAAACCCCGCTCCAGCCCGCGCTGTGCCCGGTCCGGCCAGCCACGGAACCTCCCGACCGTCCACGACAGACCGCGTCCCCCGCCCTGACGGCCCCCAGCCGCCGGGTCTGCAGCCCAGGGCTGCGCTGGAGCTGCCCTACCCACGCCCGCCCCGCGCTCTCCGGGGTCCCTGTCCCTGGAGCCACCGCTCTTGGGGCCCAAGCCTCAGGAAGAGTCCTACTGTGTCAGGACTGCAGGACCTGGAGGGCGAGCAGGGACATTAACTAGAGGACACACAAGTGATGTCAGCATGAAAGTTAGCTTCAAAGATAAACCAGTGACAAAGGAGATGAACTCTCCCAAAGACTGTGAAAATGGCCACTCTCAGTCTTGGGGGAGGCATGGCCGGCCTGGCACCTAGACTCGCTGCTCCAGGGTGTCAGGTTCAGCTTTCTGGAAAGCACTGTGATGAGGTGTAGCCCATGTGCATGCGCCCAGGCTGGGTAGTGGAGTTCCAGAAACCTGCCCTATGTAATAATGAAACGTTGGGACAGAGATTGAAAGTTAGTAAAAGTACTGGTCTCATTGTTGCTTAATAGAAAAAAATGATACACTTTAATGAGAAGTAATAGGGCAATGAATAACTTTTGATGGGATATAATAATACTATTACTAAACTTTTGTTAAATCTTAATGTGTTAGGGAAAATATTTGTGATCAAATGGCAATTTAACAAAAACCGGAATAAAAGGTATCTTAATGACGTTTTTCT